GTTTCACTGCTGTTTAAGCACTTTCTGCTTTTTGGTTCTACATCCACACAGACTTGAAAATGTACTTTTTTATTCTTTACTTTGACTTTTTACTTTTAATGATTTAACAGTTTTATAGATTTTAACTTTTCTTGTAATGTTTGACTTTCCCTCGCCAAGACAGCCCAGATTACAGCAGTGAAACCATCATCTACGTGCTTAAAACTCTATAATTAACAGCGGTTTTTAAACCACTTGGGCTTGCAAATGTCCCACGAGGCAAAAATGTTTCTGATGGTGATATATAAAATTACAAAGCTTTACTAACTTGAAGTCTATTCTTCTCCTGCCTCATGTCCTCCAGCTCTCCTCGCTGCTTCGACTCCAACATCTGAACTTTGCTCTCCAAATGACTGAAACAAAAGAAAAAAACAACTTCATAAATCCTCAGCTCACAGAACAGTTTTTGTTTCAGAGCTTTTTCCCATAAAAGTAAATCAAAGAAACTGCAAAAATGCTTTGATTGCATAATTTACACAAGTCAAAGACAAAGTAGATCTTTGTGTTTTGATGATACAACCAACAAAGTTAATAAATGCTCTGCTGTGAGTTTGACTCGTGTGTGTTATCAGCTCTATGCATGCTGTTTGGTTTTAACCAGGTTGGACGGCCGTGGCCCTAAAGTGCAAAACAAAGCAACAAAAAGAAAAACAGAAGAAAATCTCAGGAAATAAAACGAGACTTCACTTTAGAGAAAAGTTTATTTTCTTTATTCTTGAATGAATAACAGTCTCAGTCATCCCGTCAGACTACGCACCCTCAGGAGCATCAGAGGACGAGAGTAATGGTGACGTTTTAATAGTTTTATCAAGAGTCATGTTGATCTGTGGTGATGTGAAGGGTTTGGGTGATGCACAGGCTGAAAATCCTAACTGGGTTTGCATACGCAGTCCATCCCTTCATTTTTTCATATACGTTGCACTTAGATTTAAAATTTTCATATCTGAATGTGAATACAAAGGCTTTCTGTTATAATCTCTGCTGTCACACTATTTTTTGTTGTACTAAGGAAAAACGAGACTCAGTAATATCATCACAACAGAAATAAGAAGCTTCCTTAAACATGAGAGATGCTGGTGTCCTTCGCTGCACGCGGTTTCGCAGTTTGCCTCACAGTTCAGATGTGAGTCAGTAATTGTTCTATGATATTTGCAAGATTGCACAAATTCCACTGTCTGTATGAGTCTTTTAAAACCTGAGGACTAATATTATTTTTTGGGAGATCAAGTTTT